AATATATCTTCGATTTATGTGCCATTTTGTATATAAATATATAATCTTGCACACAATAAGGTTATACTCACCATCACCTTTTGTAACATTGCTCTCTTTTGTTCTTCTTTTTGGTGTCTCTTCAGTGTAAAACAAAAACTTTTAAAAGTCTCTCTCTCTTTTTCATTTCGGTTATAACTTTCAAAAGATGATGCTTGCGGTGGAAGATGTTTTGAGTGAACTAGCCGGAGAAGAAAGAAACGAGAGAGGATTACCACCTGGTTTCCGGTTTCACCCAACCGACGAAGAGCTCGTTACATTCTACTTAGCTTCTAAAGTCTTCCATGGAGGTCTATGTGGCATTCACATCACCGAAGTTGATCTTAACCGATGCGAGCCTTGGGAACTTCCTGGTACGTAAAATATTCACACTCTTCTTTCATCTATCTAAAAGTGTCTTTTTAAAAGTGAAGTTCAATGTTTTTTTGTTGGATTTGTTGTCTGTATAGAAATGGCGAAGATGGGAGAGAGAGAGTGGTACTTTTATAGTGTAAGGGATAGGAAATATCCGACGGGGTTAAGGACTAATAGAGCTACTACTGCTGGATATTGGAAAGCTACCGGAAAAGATAAGGAGGTCTTCGCCGGAGGCGGTGGTGGATGCGGCGGAGGAGGAGCTCTTGTTGGGATGAAGAAGACTTTGGTGTTCTACAAAGGAAGAGCTCCACGTGGCCTCAAGACGAAGTGGGTCATGCATGAGTATCGCCTTGAAACCGACCTTTCACACCGTCACACGTGCAAGGTAAAATTACAAACTCTATTACTTTAGTCCCACACGTGTGTCGTCTCTTAAAAATTTGTATACTAGTAGTACATTTAAAAGAAATTTGTATTTTTCTTGTTAATTTATGAGTTGACTTCTTGAAACAAAAAGATGAATAGAAAAGTTAAAACTGATACTCCATTTCACCTTGGGCTTATACAAATAAACCCTGTTGTTTTACTCTTACACGTGCGTCTCTTGAACAAATGACAAGATTTAAGTATATTTGGTAACACTGCGAATTTAATATTAACTTCGATTAATGAGTTGACTTTTTTAACAAAGTGTTGAAAAGAAAGG